AGAAAAAGCAATACTCACATTTGTATTTTATTTTATTTTTAAGGATTTTATTTTATTTATTCATGAGAGACAGAGAGAGGGAGAGGCAGAGACAGGCAGAGGCAGAAGTAGGCTCCACACAGGGAGCCCGACGTGGGACTCCATCCTGGATCTCCAGGATCAGGCCTTGGGCCGAAGGCAGCACGAAACCGCTGAGCCACCCGGGCTGCCCTCACATTCATATTTTAGACCCCACATTGCCAAAGCAGTTTTTAGAAAGAAAATCTGAAGACAAAAAAAAAAAAGAAAGAAAGAAAGAAAGAAAGAAAGAAAGAAAGAAAGAAAGAAAGAAAGAAAGAAAAGCTGAAGACATCATATTTCTTGATTTCAAAATATATTACTGATTTATATTAATCAAAACAGTATGCTACAGCACCGAAACAGACATATAGACCATTGGAACAGAATAAAGAGCCCCAAATAAATCCACACATTTACAAGTCAACTGATAACTTTGATAAGCTTACCAAGAAGAACACAATCAGAACAGGATAATCTCTTTCATAAATAGTGTTGGGGAAACTACATACATACGAATAATATTAAACTCCTTTCTTACCATTTACAAAAATCAATTCAAAATAGATAACAGATTTCAGTCTAAGATCTGAAACTGTAAAACTGCTAGAAGAAAACAGGGAAATAACTTTTTGACATTACTCTGGGCAGTGATATTTTGGGCTATGATACCAAAATCACAGGCAATAAAAGCAAAAATAGAAAAATGGATTGAATCAAACTAAAAAGATTCTGTACAGCAAACATTCAATAGAGTATAAGGACAACCTATAGAATAGAAAATATTTATAACATCTGTTGATAAGGAGCTGATATTCAAAATATAAGGGACTCAGACAACTTAATAACAAAAAACTAACTCCGTTTAAAAATGGACAAAGAACTTAAATAGACATTTCTCCAGAGAAGACATACAATGACCAGTAGATATATGAAAAGGTGCTCAACTTTACTAGTCAGTCAGGGAAATGCAAATCACAGGCACAGTGAATATCTTTTTACTTAGAATGTCTGTTATCAGATAGATGGTAGATGATAACTGTTACTGAGGATGTGGGAAAAAAAACCCTCATGCGTTTTTGGTAGGACTGAAGATTGGTATAGTCACTTTGGAAAGCAATAAGGAGGTTCCTTAAAATATTAAAAATAGAACTATCTTATGTTCATGTAATCTCACTTCTAGGTATCTATCCAAAGGAAATGAAATCAGAATCTCAAAAAGATATCTTTACTCTGTATGTTAATTTCAGTATTATTTACAATAGCCAAGAGGTGGAAGCATCCTCATGGATGGATGGATGAATGGATAAAGCAAATGTGATGGATGAAGACCATGTGTCTATATCCACACATGCACATGCTAGAGTATTATTCCTTCTTATAAAAGAAGGTGAATTTTGCCATTTGAAACAATGTGAATGAAGCTTGAGAAAATTATGCTAAGCGAAATAAACCAGATACAGAAAAACAAATAGTGCATGATCCCACTTTAGATTCCATGTGTGTGGAATCTAAAGTGGAATCTAAAATGGAATCTAAAATAGTGAAACTCATAGAAGCAGAGAGTAGAATGGTTGTTACCAATGTGGGCCTGGACAGAGGGGGGGGGGGAGGTAAGATGTTGGTCAGAAAGTACAAAGTTTCAGTTATGCAAAATGAATAAGTTTTGGAGATCAATGCACAGCAATGTGACCATAGTTAATACTGTATTGAATACTTATAGTGTTCTAAGAGGGTGTACATCTCAGGTGTTCTTATCACACAAAAGAGGTAACTGAGGTGATGGATATGTTAACTAGCTTGAATGTGGTAATTGCATTGTATATGTCTATCAAATCATCACGTTGTACACTTCAGATTTATACACTTTGTAATTGCTTTTTATGCCTCAGTAAAGCTGGTGGATGGGATTGAATTATAATTTTGTGGCCAACGTCCTGCTAATTCCTATTGAATATCTGAAGAAAAGCTATCTATCTAGAAATTTATGGGTAGTTCTTAAAATTAGCTGTGATAAATATGTTGCTATTTTCATAATAATTTTCCTTTATTGTATCTTTCTGCAGAATTATTACCTTAATGAGAGACGTTCAGCTCTTAATGAGAGACTTGTATAATAGAAGTGACAAGTAGATTCTATCTCATAGAGAATGATTTAATTTTTAGATTAGGGCATTAGTATTAACATTGGTTAGAGCTTTAATTAAAGTTAAATGCTAAATATCACATAATTTTACCTTTAATTGCCACTGATTTCACACTAGGAAGTAACAGTAATTTTTCAGTAATTTAAGATGAACCTATTTTTAATTTGGTCAGTGAGAAAAATATCCTCATTTTTCATAATAACCTCATCTAGATCACCTTTGTCTAGGTCCTAAAGTTAACTAGGTGTGTTTTGCTTGTTCTGGTGAGCAACAGGATTCTTTGATTGTAAGAAAACACAGTCAATCCTTAAGCGTAAATGGAATTCATTAGATTGATATCAACAACTCAAGGAATGGAAAGAAAGATGGAAAAAGTAGGTTTGGAGAGAGGTAGGCTGAGCTGTTTCAGAGGGTTAGCAAATATGAACTTGAAGTATGCTGAGCTCTGCTGTACATTAGGTCAAGGGCCCACTACTGGAATGAATAACCTGCTTTGTCTCTCTATTATCTAAGTAGACAGAGTTCAGATTCAGAATTCAGAGGTGGGGCTTTTCATGGCGTCTTAATCCACTTGCCTTCCCCATGATGTCTTCGAGAGGTGAGAGAAAGGGCTTTACACAAGGGGCCCCGGGGAACCCTTCCATTTATTTATTTATTTACTTGCTTACTTATTTTTAAAGATTTATTTATTTATTTATGAGAGAGGGAGAGAGGCAGAAACACAGGCAGAGAGAGAAGCAGGCTCCAGGCAGGAAGCCCGACGTGGGACTCGATCCCAGGTCTCCAGGATCACACACCGGGCTGCAGGCGGCACTAAAGTGCTGCGCCAGTGGGGCTGCCCACCCTTCCCTTTTAGATTGGCAAGGAAGGCAAGAGCCAGCATTGTCATCTCCACATTCCTCATAGAAGGTGGAAAGAAGTTGCAGCGTGGATGAAAACTGGGCCTCTCCAGTCCACTGAGTTCTCTATGTCCTATTCAAAGGATTAGGCCACTGCCCATACAAAACCATGTCATTAGGATTTCTAAACACAGAAGCCTAAACACAATATGATAGGTTGTCATGAGGCAAAAATTTTCCAGGGACAATAGTGTATAAAAACTTTTGTGAAACTTAGTTCCTTTTTTCACTTTATGCAGTGTAAAACTTCTCACTTACCAGAAAGAATGTATTCTAAATTGGAGGTTGTCCAATTACTTACATTAACTGAATTTTTCCAATATCATTTCCTCACAGATGCACATTTGCCTTTCTTGCACTCTGTTCGGCATATTTCCTGTAAAGCAGTGGTGACATTAAAGTTGAGTTTTTGAGTGACATTCATTAGAGAACTTAGAGTGAATATGGGAAAGAGAAAAGTCTAATAAGAGAAGCCAGAATAATGGTAGCTTATTTTAATAGATTCTCTGACCAGTAATCCCCATTTCTGCTTAATATGATTTTTCTGTCAGTCTTGAAGTTTTTCCGAACTCTTTACTGTTTGCATAAAAACTTATGTTAAAGTGCCTTAAAAGTTCCCTTTAAATTTTTCATTCTTTTTCCAAAGAAATAAATTTTTTACAGGTAGCCCAGAAGGATATTTCTAATGATGCATTCTCACAGACTTCTGCCTGTTTCACTTTTTTTTAAGTATTCCATTCTGAGACAGAATCTAGGATTTACATCAAATAATGTTTTTTTGTGAACATAGTGGAGCAGATATTTTTAAATATACACAAATATCCTGTAAAATCAGGAATATTCATAGGTAGTCTATTAGAGACATATAAATGGGGTTTTTCTATTTGAATCATGGTCTATAGTTAAAGGTGTTGTGCAGGCTTATTTTCTTTAGTGTAGGATCGTCTTGCCAGCACTCCACTGACTCTGCCATACACAACAGGACAATTGTTTCCAACAGTTCGTGGCAGGCACATATTCTTTCCCTGCTTCTGAGCTGATGGCTCAGATTTTGGTCCCCCAGTGTAGTGTCGTGGACTCCCGTTTGAAAAGGCAGCTTGCCTATGCGGTATTTTGAAGCCTTTTAGAGGTAGAATAGGGCCTTTGCAAACAGAATTATTCCTTTAAATGATCTTTAGCCACCAGTTCAAATATTGCATTAGTCTTTTGAAAGTGATTAATTGGTTTGTGAGGCTTAAATTTTGGCCAAAAGTTAGCTATTTTGCAAGTTGTTATTAATGAGTAGTGGCTCTGCAAAAATGAGAGTAAACCATGAGCTATTACAATGGCTTCATTCTATAGTTGAAATTTTTCCAGTGGGTTATATTGTTTAGTGTAGTTATCGTCGATTTAATTATTTTCACAAAGATACATTGGTAGTCCTTTCTATCAAAAAATGTATAGAAACCTTACAGATTTTTTTATTTTATATTTTTCTGCATTTTTATTTTTGATTCATTTTGTTTTTTTTTTACTGAGTAAAGTGTGAATTTTGATGCTAGAAAATCATATACATGGAATCTTTTTTTATTTTAACTGGAATCTGATAATCGCTAACTTTAAGAAATCATCCTAGTTTTTTAGGTAAGGTGTAAAATGCAGCTTTAGCCCTTTAGCAATATCTCTGTGGAAGAGATAGGAAGTGTGAATTTCACGTTAGTGACTTGTGGTAGCCTTTAGAGAAAGAATGAAAAGCACGTGTTGTAGGAGACATTAACAAGCCCAACTAGTTCTCTTGACAGTTTGTTAACATACTATTTAAAAAAGATGAATTTTGGGGGCCAGATTAATTCCATTAGGTTCCTCTGCCATTGCAGAACAGTGAAGACAAAAGCACTCACCATCTTAATATTCACAGGACTGTGCTAAAGAATAATGATTTAAGATCAAGACAAGAGTTAACTGCCCATCTCACCAACCAGTGGCCTTCCCCAGGAGCTCTGGATGTCAATGCTGTTGCCTTGGATACGTTGCTTTACCGAAAACACAATAAACAGTGGTATGAGTAAGTGTAATACTTTTTTTTCCAACTAATTACAAATTTAGTTTTACCAAAACATATGGTTATCCACTTTGGTTTCTCACCTATTCTTTCTGAATTCATTATTTTTTTACCTTAGGCTAAAGTAGTATTTAATACTACTTTGGCTTGCAAAAGTAAGATTAAGGCAGTGAATATGTTAATGTTTTGAAGCCAAGGCACCCTGGGGAAGTAAAATATGTAAGAAATTCTCATGCAGTATTGTACCAGCTACCTGCTTCTCCCTTAGGTCTTCAGCCAGTCCTTCAGTTAAGTCTATGAGCTTGTATTTGATAAGCCATCTCTTTTTGAATTTTAGCTTTGGTATTTGTATTTGCCTTCGGATTACTTTTCCTGCTAGTTAGGAAACACAGAATTCCATCTCATGAAAGAATGAAAAGATACTTGCTCTTGTTGGGTCTGAGGGAGTTTTGTTTACTTTTAATCTAATTTTTGGAGGCTGTAGAAGATCTAATCACCCCACCTATGAGCCACAAGATTCTTTTCCTATTTCTTTATTGCACTTTTCAGGACTATTTCATTAAGCCATAGTGTCACAATGTTGAGAGAGCTGCAGAATCTTAGGCTGTATCCTTTTGGGGTATCTTCATTTTGAAATTGTAGATTGTATTATTTTCTTTGGTGTTTTAGCCACTTTTTCCACCTTGATAACTTTTTCAGCATCTTTATTTTCCTGTCTTCAGCTAATTTTCTAATTATTTCTCTGCTGTCTCTCCTTCCCTTTCTGTTCTCTCTCCTCTCTACTTCCTGTCCAATCTCTCTTCTCTCTTCTCCCCTCCTTCCCTTCCCCCTCTCTTTTTAAAAAAGTTTCTTCTCCACTCTTCGTATAGATCCCTTGTGTATAAACTTCACAGGTAGGTGTACACACTTCTCTCTGTGCTCCAAAGGGTGCTTTTCACTAGGGAGTTAGTAGCCACACATTTCTGCAGGGATTGTTTTAGCATAGATATAATTTCTAGCTGCTTTACTGTGTGATTTTTTTCATTTGTCAAAGGGAGCACTCAAAATAAATTTGACCTGTTGCTAAAAAATTCTTTTGTTTGTTGGTTTCACTAATGCTAAAAATAGGCAGGAAAAGGGAGCAGATTATTTACAGAGTAAATCAATAGAACTCTCTTCAACATCTACTAAACCCTGCTGCTTAGTATGATTCAGGGGGTTGACTGAGTCTTTGATGAATTGTATCTAGTTCCCTTATATATCCCTTTGAAAGTTATAAATAACTTGAGTATATCTTCTTATGTTTGTCTATAGTTTTATTTTTCTGTGACATATGTAAATAAAAGAACATTAGTTTATTCATATTTCTGATTTATTATTGAAAAACAATCTGTTGCAATAATTGGTCCACTTATCTCTGTATAACACAAGATGCTCCCACTTTTATAACTGCAAAAATATTATAACACTGACTCCTGACAAGTTAAAAGGCTAATAATATGCTTTTTATCACAATAACCACATTGTCACTTTATTTTTTTTTCCACATTGTCACTTTAGATAGTAGGAGGTAAAATATTTTAGCCAAAAGACCTGTATGTAGCCCTGCTTGCCTGTCGAACTACCTATCGAGGAACCAGTGAGTCTAAAGTGGAAGAATTATTTCTAGTTTTCCTTTGCATGTGGTAATAATGTCTGGCTTTTACAAAGTTATAGTAGCAGCAAGAGTAATTGCAGTATCAGAAAAGGAAGTAGTAAAACTGCCTGTTTAGCCTGGATCCAGATTTTATATTCCTTGACTCAGCTACTGCATTAGCTGAAGAAGGGATCCCCTTGTCTTCTCAGCAGCATCCTTTCATCAGGCCTTATCATAGATGTTGGTGTTGCTTTTAGATTCCCTGTTGCCAAACTGCTATTCCTGAACAAAATGTGTATGTACCTGGGGTGTAGTATGGAGATCACTGGACCTAGACTTTAAGGTCAGGACTGGAAAGTAGTCTCTGCTACCCTCTTCGATAGGTAACACTAAGCAACACGTCCTGTTACCTTCTGCACGTGTAATTCCGGGGGCAATGCCTGTTCAAGTGAGTAATAAATTGCGTGGCATCTACTACTTCTCAGGGAATCTTTTTTTTTTTTTTTAAGATTTTATTTTTTAGTCATGAGAAACAGAGAGGAGAGAGAGACAGAGACACAGGCAGAGGGAGAAGCAAGCTCCATGCAGGGAGCCTGATGTGGGACTCAATCACGGGTCTCCAGGATCACGCCCTGGACTGAAGGCGGCGCTGAACCGCTGAGCCACCCGGGTTGCCCAGGGAATCTTTATTTATATTCTATATAATCTCTTTTTGTTTATGTTCTTATATAACCTTGTATCTTCTATGTTTGGAGAATATACACCCATTCACTGTCCTAAGTTCTACTTTGTTAGAGACTTTGTAAAACTTACGTAAAATTAAAATGACCAGCAGATCCCCAGTTGTTCTGAACAAAAAATCCCAACTACTTTATGTAAAAAATGGAGACTTCAGGTTTCCATAGTAGAATTATGCTCTATAAATCATATTTGAAACTAACCTCAGGATCTAGTTTTTGCACCCCCCCCATCTGTAAAATAAGCCAAAGTTCTTAAACTAACCTCATCACTAATTCCTCTTAATTTGACTAGTATCTTTAGTAAGCTTAACATACATTTATCAAGAACCTACAAATTATGGAAGAAGTGGCCAAATCTCTTAATAAGGAACTTTAGTGCTCTTGAAATTTGGAGAAAGAAACTCACCCTATAATTAGTCATTATATTATAATTTCCTGCTAAGAATATGGGATGTCTGTATTTCCCTGGGAGCTCTGTCAAGTTAGCTTCAAAAAGAATGGTAATATGCCGCTTGATTTAAGAATTTCTTGGTCTAGTTGACATTTCTTAAAATGAATGATTGGTAACTTGGCTATATTGTCATCTACTCACGGAAGAATCTTTTTCACAGTAGAAGATCTTAAATATATTTTCATTTACTGTACTGTTTATAAAGCATTTCTAGTTTTTTCTTGATTATGTAGACCTAATAAGGTCTAATTAATTATGCTGGAGTTTATATTTGTTCCCTTATTTCAAACATAGGAATTTTTTTAAAAGATTTTATTTATTTATTTGAGAGAGAGAGAGTGAATGAGAAAGAGAGCACTAACAGGGTGGAGGGGCAGGCGGGGAGAGAGAAGCAGACTTCCTGTTTAGCAGGGAGCCCAACTCTGGGCTCAATCCCAGGACCCTAGGATCAAAACCTGAGCCGAAGGGCAGACGCTTAATTGACTGAGCTACCCAGGCCACCCCCATGTTACAATCTTTTAAAGCATTACAGGCTGGCTGTAAAAACTCAACAATAAACAAGTATATAAAACACACACCTAGAGCAATTGATTACTGTTTCCAACAAGTTCTATTTTAGTGTTTTTTATATGTAAAGTCGAGGCCACATAAGCTTGTTAGATATTGGTTATATAATCTTATTGGATTGTATGTTATATAATCTTGTTAGATTATTGCCTAACCCACTCATTTTCATCCTAAAAGATCAGATTCATTGTCATCATATTTTTATTTTCTACTTAAGTTTTCTTAGTCTTCTAAATTTATCATTGCTTTTAATTTGGCTATCATTCACAAAAGTATTGAGAATTATGAGCTTTTATATGCCCTTCATGATCTTTGTAGGCTAATTTTTTTTTTTTTATAACTTAGGAGTAGATATAATTACTTGAAGTGTCTTATAGCTTCTCTTTCCCGTGTGCATCTTTCCAGTATTTTTGGAGAACTCCCTCAAGCACAGGGTGAAAAAATCTTTTACAGCTCATAAGGTTTGCATTGACCTGACTCAATATGGCCTTCCCTTTCAGTCTGCATTGCATCCTTCCATTAATTTTAGCAGATTAAGAGTATATATTCTAGCAAAGGAAATGCTTATTTTGTTCCTTAAACACATTTCTGTGAAAACCAGACCAAAAATAAAAAGAACAGCCCATCTCTGGCTTCGTGCACATTCATGAGCCTCTATGTTTTCAGTGTGCATATCTTTGTTTTTATTTTCTACACATGGATAACCTCTCCTTCTGAGCTTAGCACTCCTTTTCACCCACTGACTACCAGGTAATGTAAATTATTATTGACCTCAGTCCATCTATTGGGCAAATAGGTGATGTAGATTATCCATGTCATTCCTTCTAATCATTGATACAAAGTGTAAGAGTTTAGGAAATTTACTAATAAGTGATTTCAGGCCTATTTCTCAGTTTCTTTTAATTTGCCTTTGATATCCAATTTCTTTGTATAGAGGCTTGTATTTGAGTGATTTAAAATTTTAAATAATTAGATATTAAATGCAGTGGGTTTTATTATATCCCAGGTGTTTATGACAGTTGATATGGTTCCTATCTTACTGTCCGGGATTCTTACTTTGATTAAGTAAGATACTGCTATTAAAAAAAAAATTGGCTCTGGGAAATAGAATTTTACTGTTGATTGGTTTGATGTGCCTGGTAGGTTACATTTGTATCTTACAGTATGATTTTAATGAGTCTAGAATTCTAAAATAGGACTTAGTGGTGACCTTTTAAAGACAGAACTCCCGTAGACAGTTTATTTCAGGACAGCATGTTTGTCAGTGGGAGCTATTAGTTGTATGACAATCAGGTAAGAATGTGGAAATCCCAGTCTTTGTCATTGCTGCCAGCAGCTAAACTAGATTACTCCCAAGTGGTGGGTCTCTGTAATCACCTTCATGCAAGGAAGATATTACATGGTACTGTTATATCTTTTGAATAAGGGTCCTAATTTTGGCTTGGACTTATTTTTGCTTCAGAAATTATCGTTTACCAAATTCTGTTTCTGTATTCATTGGCATTTGGCTGAGAGAAGCCTATAACCTGAAAAATTGTTCACTAAATGTACCAAATTAAAGGGTAAATAGTTTCCACAGTCACTTTGTACTTGGAAATGTGATACCTGAAAGGAATTTCAGTAGGTAATGCAGAAAGCTCATTTTGTGTTGCTTTTATCAGAGGTGGCTTTTATAGGCTTTCCTCCCCAACTACTGAGAGTCCTGGATTGCTGTAAATGTGTGCTGTCAGGCTCTGAGTCCTTATAATTTTCAAATGAATTTTATGTCTTTTTTGCTTCTAGGTATTTTATTGTTTGTAAATATTCCTATAATATTTTAAATTTAATAATATTGACTAATAAGTTTCCTATGATGAAAAATCAGTGTCAGAAACTCATTTAAAGCCAAAAGTTTAAAAACAAGCCTTCTACCTATTAGGCACAGAAAAATAATTAGGAAAATAAATTTATAAGTTCCTTTATTAAATTCCTGTGTTCCTGCTTTCTTCTATAGCTAAAGAAATAGCATGTTGATGAAAGTCAAAAGAAATTTTCAGTGATACAATTAAATAAAGTTTACATGGTCAATCTCAGCCACAAGGCTGTTCTTTGAAAAGGGTTTCTAATAAAACAGAAAACTAGATTTTTTCTTTTTATACTGGAGAAGGAGATAGCAGAGAAGTTAAGTCCTTAAAATCTGTTCTCTTTGTGCCCTGGTTAACTGTGCTAAAAAATGGGAAGAGCAGTAATTCCAACCTCTTAGGGTAGTTGTGAGGACTAAATAAGTTAATAGATATGAAATGTTTATGGACAGTGCCTAGCATTTGGTAAGCATTATATAAATACTGGATATCCTTTATTACATGTTATATAGATCATATTTGTTTGGATCTGTTATCTATTTTATCTATTATCAGAAATTGCCTATTGTAGAATTTCCTTCTACTTAAAAATATAACTAAGAACTCCTGTTCTTGACATTTGAAATGTCATCGTGTTATAAAGTGAGAACACTGTAAGCTAAAAAAAGTTATTCCATCACTTTATCCTTCACTTCTGAGATGAAAAGAACAAATGGGTACTGTTGTATATATCCCCTCATACATAATATATATACTTTCATTAAATTCTTAAGTTGACTCTGTGTGAACAGAGAATAGCTCTGGAATAGCTCATTTAAATTATATATACTTTCCTATAATACTATCATAGAATACATGACATTTATAGGAAATTAATTAGAGTTTGGCTACCTTGGGAGATAGATGTTAAGCCTGAAAAGTATATTCTTTCTCCTGGATCACATGTATTTACAAATTATAATGAATCTCATTCTCTTCCTTGAAATGTCAATAACACCAAGCTGTATACATCTTTTGAGCTCTTTTTATCCTGACAAAAAAAATATGAGAAAGGTTTAATAATAACCCATATTAACTTTGCATTTATAAATGAATTTTTCCTCTATTATTCATTTCTCATCAATTTGTTTAATGGAAATTGAGCTCACAGTAGCAAATACACAAGGGAAGGAGGTTAATTATCTTGATAGTGTATTAACAGAAACAGCTATTTTATTATCCAACATTTTTAAACTTGTAAATTATAGGAATTTGTCATAATAATTTGTAATTATTGTTATGTAAAAACCATCTGTAAAAATATCAAGACATTGAAGAATTTTCATGCGCCTAGGAGATACTGGGTCATTAAGTTATATCGTTTTGGTTTCTGCATTAGGAATAATCTGTAGATTTTCTGCTCCTTTGAAAACTGGTAATAACCAGAAGGTCCCCATTTTCTCACTAGCTGGATAATTAAAAATTGGTGTAAGGATTTAAATTAGTTTGACAAGTTGTCTTTCTTTTCCTTTTTTAATAGATTGAACACACAGACCTCTAGAGAGGGTGGAGGGAAAAGTTAAATGGAGATCATATTGCAGCCACAATAGAGACAGAGTTTAGGGGAATAACTGGGGAGAAATAAGCCAGAAATTCAGTAAATTGAAGCGGATCATTAAATAATATCTCTAGAAATTCTTTTTTTATGAGAAGAAATCCGAGTAGCATTTCACCCTTGTTTTACAGAAAAAGTTATCACAGTCTTGACCAGTTATCAGCTGAAGTTAGCCTTTCTCAGACATCATTGGATCCAGGTCAGTCACAAGAAGGAGATGGAAAACAAGACACGTTAAATTTAATCAGTGAAGGTAAGAAAAACAAAGTCTATTTGGAAACTACTTTTTCCTACTGTGTATGCTTTGGGTGTGGAATGCTGAAGAACAGCAGTGATGGTTCTGTGAAGCATGCTGGGAATGAAGCTGTCAATTATGATTTAAAAAGATCTGCTTTTGTTTTTTTCTCATGTGTTTGTGGATAACCTCAGAAGATTGTCATTTTTTCCTTTATTTCATCACTTCCTGTACTGGTTGTTTGTTTGTTTTTGTTTTTGTTTCTTTACCCATGCCGATTGGGCTTTTTGTGTCTCTATCACTAAAATGACTTTGATCAAGCTGGTCCACCCCTGCCATATTGCAGTTCAAAAGAAAGTTCTTGGTCTTCATTCTTTAAAACTTCTCACCAGCTTTTGATACAGTTGACCACTTCCTCATTCTTGAGTCACTTTTGGTACTTCATTTATTGAATATTCTGAAAACCTTGGGAATAAATATGAAAGAGTTTGAGTTTTCTCAGACTGCTGTTTGAGAGTAACTGCTGTTACTGCTTTCAGCTGTACTCCTTCAACCCCTCTTTCCTTTGTGTCTCAACTTCCTGGATGACATCTTGGTTCAATTCCAAAACTTTTTAGGACATTTTCATTGATCACATTCCATTTTCTAAGACTCAAGTCTATGTATTTTTAAACTTCAGTAGCTTAGTTCAGTTACTTTCTTTCCTGCCCCCAGTACAGGCTTAGGCTGTGACTCTAGCACTTTGGGTTGGACGAGTGGTGCTGGTATGATAGGGCATGCACATCTTTTATCTCTGCATCCCAGCATGTGTGAGGTGAGGACTAGGGACCTGCACTCCTCTGGGTCTCCATTTCTTCTCGGTCTTCTCCACTGCGATAAATAGCACCACTACACACATTACTAAGTTCTACTCTTCCCCTTTACAACTCCTCGTCCGTTTATCAGTAGGTCCTGTCAGCGCCCTATGCAAGACATGCTGCCTACACTTATTTGTCATCATCTTCACAATTACAACCCTCGTCTAAGCCATGTGGAGCAAGCCTCGTGGATGAACTACTCAAAAGCTTTTCTTTGAGTCTTTCCTCTCTCATTCTTGCCTTCATGCAGTCCATTGTCCATAGGTTAATCAGTGATCTTAGAAAACATAAATGAGAAAATATTATACCCAAACTTAAAAACCTCCAGTGGCTTTCAGTGAATTCAGAATAAAATCCAGACTGCTTGTCATAGCCTCCTATATGATCGTGTCCTTGCCAGCTTCTGCTTTTTCTCATACCATTCTTTTTCCTAGCTCCTTGCACCCCAGAATACTGACCTTTTACCTATTCCTTCAGATTGGTTCCTGCTTCAGCTAGCTTTGCACCTGCTTTTCCTAGTGCCGTTGAAACTTCTTTCTTGAGCAGCCCGGGTGGCTCAGTGGTTTAGTGCCACCTTCAGCCCAGGGCATGATCCTGGGGACCTGGGATCGAGTCCCACGTCGGGCTTCCTGCATGGAGCCTGCTTCTCTCTCTGCCTCTCTCTCTCTGTGTCTCTCATGAATAAATAAATAAAATCTTAAAAAAGAAAAAAAAGAAACTTCTTTCTTAAGGTCTTTGTATGGTAACCTCGTTATCAGATCTCTTTTGAAATAGCTCTTTAAAGAAGTGTTCATACCTTAAATAGCCATCGTCTCCATATTCGTGTCCACCTCCTCCCTCATCAGGTGTTACTTGGTTTCACCCCAGGCACTCCATCACATTGCCCTCTGGTGTATTATGATTCTAGTCTCTAATTCCCCACTGAAATGTATGCTTTATGAGGGTAAGGAATCTTATCCATATTTTCCACCGATGTATTACCAGAGCCTGTCACATAATAGATAATTATTAAACATTGGTTGATAGAATAAGTATATAATGAATTAATATCACAGAATGTGAGGAACAAGGTACAGATAGTATAAAGTAAAAATTCAATTAACAAGCAGACTCAGGCAATGGGAACTTATGTTAAGCTGAATTTTCTGCTTCTTTTAAGATAGTTATTGAAATGTTCTCAGAGGGCCTTAAGTCTATTTTAATAGTTTATAAATAATGTGTACTGACTACAAATGAATCTTTTTTTGATGATGTGGATAATAAAGATAGAAAAATAGAGTATCTTCATGGCATGAATGTAGATAGAACATAAGCTGAATCCACTGCCATAATTTAGAATTATGTGTATTTTAAAAATTAATCTGTTCGATGAGTGGATTTATTTGTGATGATGACTCTATGTAAAAGACCCGTTTAATATAGGCATTTTAATAGTAATAAGTCAAAATTGATAATGGGTAATTTTTATACTATAAAAATGAATGGATGAAGCATAGAAAATTTTTAAGGCAGTGAAACTATTCTGTATGATACTAAAATGGTGGATACATGTCATTGTAAATTTGTCCAACTCGTAGAATGTACAGCACCAAGAGTGAACCCTAATGTAAACTATGAACCCTGGTTGATAATGATGTGTTCATGTAGGTTTCTCCCTTGTAACCAATGTACCAAACTGGTGGGATATATTCATAATGGGGGAAGCTTTGTACAGAGGTACAGGAAATCTTTGCACATTCTGCTCAATTTTGCTGTGAACCTAAAACTACTCTAAAAAATAATGTGTGTATACACACATAGAGAGAAGTATTGGCTTTAAGAATTGAGGATTAAATAACAGATTAAGAATTACTTGATTTCAGCTCAGGTCATTGTCCAGGGTTGTGAGATCGAGTCCTGCATGGAGCTCCTATGCTCAGCAGGGAGTCTGCTTGAGATTCTCTCTCACCTCTCTTCTGTACCCTGCCCCCCAGCTAGTGCTCTATCTCAAAAAAGCAAAAAAATGTTCAAGAAACAGAAGGAAATGAATTGATAGCTGATTACACTCTAGGAAGAAATGGGAAAAAAAGGAAAAATTATATCAGAAGTAAATATTAAAGAATAAGCTGCCTAAAGAATAGATTTGGAAGTGAACTTATTATAGAACATTGAAGAAAAGCAGGAAAGCAACCAAGAGAATGAAAATATGATGAAGAAAGAAGTAAAATGAGTCATGAAGTGTTTGAATTAGAAGTCAAGCAAAGAAGATAAAATTTAGGGGCATCTGGATAGCTCCGTTAAATTTCTTACTCTTGGTTTTGGCTCAACTCATGATCTCAGATCATGGGATCAAGCACTGCATCAGGCTCCATGTTCAGTGGGGAGTCTGCCTGAGATCCTCTCTCTCTGCCCTCCCTCTGCTCACACATGCGTTCTCTCTTTCTAAATAAATAAATCATTAAAAAAAAAGATAAAGTGTACAGATTAGTGGAGTCACTCTAAAAGTGTATAGATTAATTGAGTCACTCTAGAAGTAAAACAGTGGAGAACTAATACTGAATCTTTAAATTTAAAAAAATTTAAAAAATTTAAAAAAATCTGGACATTAAGACTGAAATCTATAAATTGACAGAGCTGACAACGGGCCTTAGAAAATAATAATAATAATAATAACCTGTGTTAATCAACTCTAAGGCATATCTACTAAAATTATTAGATATTAACAATAAAGAAAACATATTCAGGGCTTCTAGGCAGAATGATCAAATAGCTTGTAAGGGGAAGAGAATGAGACTTAGCATTACACTTCCCTAGTTGTATAAAGGTAACAACTAGAGCAAAACTACAAACCATTCCAGATAACATGAAGTTAAAACAAAAAGACATGTTATCATATAGAAAAAGAAATAGAAGAAATATAAGCTGTAATTATGAATTTATAAAAAATAATAAAAACTATCATAGCAGACTGAGATTTACTTAAAGCAATAGAGGAAAATTCATAATATGTATATACCTTTTCATTAAAAATGAAAAAATGAATAAAATTTCTCAGCTGAAAACAGTAGGAAAAGAACAAGATATATAAAAAGCCAATAAAGAAAATAATAAAGATAAAACTACAAATTGAGATAAAGAGATCTAATTAATAAAACCGTTCTTTAAAAAAAAAATTAACAAATTTGAGACCTAGCTAATTTAATCACAGGGGCAGAAAGAACAAATAAATGAAAATATAGGGGATAAATACAACCTGATATAGTGTGAAAATTTTTTTTAAATTATAGTCTAGTTTCGCTTATCAATATTGATGTGAAAGTTCTGAATAATATATTAGTGAGCAGAATCTAGCAGATCATCAAAGAGATGATACACTATGACCATGCAGATTTAATCCCAGAATGTAAGATTGTTTCAATATTAGGAAGTCTAAAAAAAAAAAAGGAAGTCTATTAATATAATACAAAACTAACATATCTAAGATAGAAAAAATTATCTCCACAGATGCCAAAAAACCCCTGGATAGAATTCAACACTTGCATGACACAAACATTCAAAACAGAAGAACTGAATACTACTTCATTTCCATGGGTATGTGTAAATGTCTCTGTCCTAAGATCAGCATCCTACTTAATGAGGAGATACTAAGATGCAGATTGATTTCTACCACTGTATAACATCATGCTAGTAGCTAATGCATTTAAAGAAGAAATTTCTAGAGACACGAGAATTGGATTTTTGCAGATGATAGCAGGAACCTGGAAAACGAGAAATAATACTTAGACAATAAAAGTCCTACAAAGTAGCAAAATATAAGATTATGCAGAAATCAGTAGCTTTCACATGTACAAACAAGAAGCAATGAGAAACTCTATCGGGGGGACAAGTTAAATAGCAACAGAGAAAATAAAATTTTTAGACTTTGCACATTTCTTGTTAAATTTATTCCTATTATAAGGAAAGCTTATAAACCATTCTTAAGACACAAAAGTGGAGTCAAGGAAATGGAAAGAAATCCTTTAAGTCTTCCCTAAGTTAATGTAAAGTTAACACACTCCTATCTATATACGGCTCTTGTTTTTAAATCCAGCAATAATACACCTTGGAATTCACTCCAAAGAAATACTTAAGCGGAACAGAAATACATAGTCACAAGATTATGCTGCTCATTTAGTATTCCTT